ACCACCTCGCCCGGCCTTTTACTTATATTTTTAAATTCCTTTTTTTTTCCCTTTTATTTTATTCTCGACTCTTGCCAGGCATAAAGCTCTTGATCCTGGAGTCAGAGGGTCTTGGTTTCACATCTGGGGGTCGAGTGACCTTGGACAAGTTATATCTCCTCTGCGAGCCTCAGTGTCCCCTTTTTTTTTTTTGGCGGAAGGAGGGAAACTCCAACTTTGCAAGGCCGACACGATGGGGCCATCACATCCCGTTGGCAACGTGCCCAGCACGGCGCCTGGCATACGATGGTCGCGACGGTCGTCCCGTGTCCACGGGGCGGGCTGGGGAGAGACCCCGAAGTCTGGGGCTCACGTCGCCGGGGGCGGCCCATTTGCTGGGCGCAGTGAACGACCACATGAGAGGTGGGAGATGCGTGTCGGGGAGCAAAAGGAAAAGGAGAGAGAGGGCGAGGGAGGGCGGCAGAGACAACTGCCTCACGTTAGCCGGATCAACTTCTCTTTATCTCGGAGCAAGGGGGAAATCAAGAGTTTCCCAGGATGTCCTACGGGGCAGTGCCAACAACTCAGCAAAAAAGGGCTGTGATGCGCTGGGGACATTGAGCAAGGCTGGCCCCGCCCTCCTCTCGACTGGCACCTCCCCGTGCTGAAAACCCTGGGTGAGAAGAAAAGGGTCCCCTGTTGGGACAGCAGGACCAGGGCATGATGTGGCGCTGCAGCCTGCTCCTCTTCTGGGGTGAGTGTGCGGCTGGGGGTTGGGGGGTTGCTGGGGGCCGTCTGGGCTGGAAACAGGCTACAGAAAAGAAAAGGAAAAAAAAAAAAAAGTCAGAGCTCCACACAGCCTCCAGGCAAGAAATCCGGATTCTAGGCTGGGTGCTTGCAAACACCATCCTTGGGGGCATCTTGGACAACATTCGGTAGGGTGGTCCACCTGTGGGGGCAGATTTTCTTCTCGGTCATTCATCTGCCCTGAGCACCTGCTGTGTGGCAGGTGCTGTTCTAAGCGCCAAGGGTATACAGCAGTGGACAGACAGACGAGATTTCTGTGCTCGTGGAGGTGAGAACAGACAGAGAAGAAGATACAGAGGGTCAGAGTGGTCACCCACTGAACACACTGCTCTAAGTCCTTTAAACGTAGAAGGGATCCTGTCGCCACATACGGTTTCTATGATATGAGGCCATTAGGAGCCCCAATTTTGCAAAGGTGAGGAGGGGAGCAAAAGAGGTAAAATAACTGCCCAGGACCGCTTAGCCAATAAGGAGGAGAGCCGGGGTTCCAAGCCAGGCTACGGTGATTCCAGAATGTCTGTGCTGTGGCATGCACGCTGTGTCCCCCCAGATAATAAGCAAACCAAAGGAGTTTAGGGAGTGGTAGGTGCTATGCAGGAGGTTGCTATAGAATGTGACTGGGGTCACGATGAAGAGGAAGTCAGAAATTTGTGCTGAGACCTGAACAATGAGCTGGAACCTTCCTGTTTGTTCTTTCTTTATCTTTCATCAGGCATCAGTTTGTCCTGCCTGGCTTCGTTTATCTCTCGTGTGGCTGGGTTTCCTTCTCTGCCCTGTAAATTGGGGTCATCAGTTCAAACGCAAGAAGAAGGGACATTTTCTAAGTAGGGAGGCTGGGTTTCCTCTGCTGTGGTTCAGTGGGTCTGGTTCCTGTTTTACCGAGGGAGGAAACTGAGGCACAGAGAGATTAAATCGATTAAAAATCGATTTCCCGAGGCCACCCAATCAGTAATTGGGGAAGCCAGATTTTTATTTGATTTTATTTTTTTGAGACAGGGTCTGGCTCTGTCACCCAGGCTGGAGTGCAGGGGTGTCATCACAGCTCACTGCAGCCTCCAACTCCTGGGCTCGAGCGATCCTCCTGCCTCAGCCTCCCGAGTAGCTGGGACGACAGGCACATGCACCACCGTGCCGGGCTGATTAAAAGAATTTTATTTTCTTTTTGTAGAGACGGGAACTGATTATGTTACTCAGGGTGGTCTTGAATTCCTGGGCTCGACCAGTCCTCCCGCCTCGGCCTCCCAAAGTGCTGGTATTACAGGCGTGAGCTACCGCGCCCGGCCACTGTGAGGCTTGTTGGCAGGCAGGCTTCAGTAGAAGAAATCGTTGGCTTGTGTACATCAAATGCAGGGACACAGAGCTGTCACTTCGGCGCGTTGGCACTGGCGTTAACCATTAGCAGCTCTTAGTCTGCCCTGGAGCTGATCGGCAAAGACTGGTGGGGGTGATATTGACGACATTGGTGATATTGATGATGGCAGTGACGATGATGATGGTGCTTGTGGAGCAGCAAAGCTAAGTGCTGCGGGGCTGCACTGCCTTTCAAACAGTGAAAAAATCCAAAAAACGAATCCCCCTGCCCTCTCATGAAATGTTAATATCCCAGATATACTGTATGTCTATATATGTTATATATAAATGTCCACATGTGTCTGTTTTTTATTTCAGCATATTATGGGGGTACAGATGTTTAGGTTACACATGTGTCTCTTTTTGTTTTTACATCTTAACAAGACACGGGTGGGGAGATGCTATGATGCTTCCCCTGTGATCGGAAGCATCTTAACAAGACACGGGGGGGGGGGGGGAGATGCTGGTTAAGGCTGCGGTCGGTCCCCAACCCCCCTGGCTGCCAGGAACCTTATGAGAGTCCGACGCCTGGTGATCCGAGGTGGGGCCGAGGCGGTGACGCCTGCGCCGAGGACCCGCTGCAGATACAGACTGTCGTCCGCAGAGAGGTCTGGCTGCACAATAAATGCAATGCGCTCGAATCATCCCGAAACCATTTCCCCGTCCCCTCCCCCATCCATGGAAAAATCGTCTTCCACGAAACCGGTCCCTGGTGCCAAAAATGTTGGGGACCGCTGGGTTAAGGGGTACAAAACTTGAGTTAAACAGGGGGAGTTAAGTTCAAGAGATCTGTCCTACGACACGTTGACTATGGTTAGGAACGATGTATTGTATACCCGAAAATTGCTAAAAGAGTAGATTTTTAAGTGGTCTCACCACCAAAAAATGATGCGCACGTGAGGTTAAAGACATGTTAGTTCTCTCGAGAGTTCGCAAGCCATTCCATATTTCAAAAGCTCCACGTGGTCCACCGTAAATGTATATACAATTTTGATTTGTCCATTAAAAGCAGAAATTAAGGCCGGGCGAGGTGGCTCACCGCTTGTAATCCCAGCAACTTGGGAGGCCGAGGAGGGAGGATCGCTCGAGGTCAGGAGTTTGAGACCAGCCTGAGCAAGAGGAGACCCGTCCTCTACTAAAAATAGAAAGAATTAATGGCCAACTAAAAATATATAGAAAAAAATTAGCCGGGCATGGTGGCACATGCCTGTAGTCCAGCTACTTGGGAGGCTGAGGCAGCAGGATCGCTGAGCCCAGGAGTTTGAGGTTGCTGTGAGCTAGGCTGACGCCACGGCATTCACTCAGCCTGGGCAACAGAGTGAGACTCTTGTCTCAAAAAAAAAAAAAAAAAGCAGAAAAAAGTTAAAAAAAGAAGAAGAAAAGGGAAACAAATGGAAAAAAAGAACACAGAGATCTCCTCTCTTAAGTAGGGGAAATTAAAAGTCAGGATAAAGCAAGGCTGAGAGACCACCCAGTCGGAGCTGGTGTTTCTGGTTGGTAGAAACCATGGGAGTAATCTGGAGCTCCCGGTCAGAGAGCAGCTCCCCTTGAACCTCACGGGCCTCTCTGCACGTGCTTCTCCTCCTGCTGTCTCTTCTCCGGAGCTGTTGGCCACCGCTCGTCCTTCAGTCTCGGCTTGGGCGGCGGCTGCTTTCGGGAGGTCCTTCCCTCAACCCCCAGCCTGGGTCCGACGTCCTCTCGCCAACCCACACACCCCTCACCTCTGGCCCTCTGTTTCTCATAAGGCAGACAGACCACACATCTTAATGGGCCCATTTTACAGATGAGAATGTCAAGGCAAGTGGAGGCCATGGAAGTAGAACCCCTGTCAGTCTGGTTCCAGACTTTGTGTTCATCCTCCAGTGCTCCTACAATCCATAATGCAGCTCTGTTTATCCTCCTTCCCCATGGAATTTTTTTTTTTTTTTTTTTGTATTTTCATGCCGGTTCTTCCCTGCGGCCTCACCAGGCAGGGTCCCTTCGTGTGCAAACAGGAAGCCAAGTCCCAGATGCACCTTCCCTGAAGAAGGTGGCTCCGGGGGTGGCTCCGGGGTGGCTATTTTGCCTTGCAAACGAGCAAAAGAGGAGATTTGCAAAAGCAAGTGGAGATTTTTCTTTCCAAGAACATGGGGGTGGCCACTTTCTTATTGTATGACCTCTTTGCTAACACACCCATATCGCCTCCCTTCCTTTCTCACTTCCCCTCACCCCCAGCTCGTGTCTTCTGGGGTTACCTCCCTGCGAAACTTGAACTAAAATCCTTATCTTAGGGTGTGCATTTGGAAGACTTTTTTTGTTTGTTTGTTTCTTTTTTCTTTGTTTTTGAGACCGAGTCTCGCACTGTCACCCAGGCTGCAGTGCAGTGGCGTGATCACAGCTCACTGCAGCCTCCGGCTCCTGGGCTCAAGCGATCCTCCTGCCTCAGCCTCCTGAGTAGCTGGGACTACAGGTGTGCACCACCAGGCCCGGCTAATTTTTCTATTTTTTGTAGAGATGGGGTCTTGCTATGTTGCCCAGGCTGGTCTCCAACTCCTGGCCTCAAGCGATCCCTGCACCTCAGCCTCCCAAAGTGCTGGGACTACAGGCGTGAGCCACTGTGCCCGGCCATTTGGGAGACCTTAAGATATTACTAGATCTCCTTATTTATGAGAAAGAGAGAGAGAGAGAGAGACAGAGACAGAGACAGAGACAGAGAGAGAGAGAGAGTCTGGGAAACTGAGGATGGGCTGGGAGGGATCAGATAGATTTGAGCCCTGCAGGAAGATGAAATGGTTAAAGCTCTTTATATATATATTATTATTATTATTATTATTTTTGAGACAGAGTCTCGCTTTGTTGCCCAGGCTAGAGTGAGTGCCGTGGCATCAGCCTAGCTCACAGCAACCTCAAACTCCTGGGCTCAAAGCGATCCTCCCTGCCTCAGCCTCCCGAGTAGCTGAGACTACAGGCATGCGCCACCATGCCCGGCTAATTTTTTCTGTATGTATTAGTTGGCCAATTAATTTCTTTCTATTTATAGTAGAGACAGGGTCTCGCTCTTGCTCAGGCTGGTCTCGAACTCCTGAACTCAAACGATCCGCCCGCCTCGGCCTCCCAGAGAGCTAGGACTACAGGCGTGAGCCACCTCGCCCGGCCTTTTACTTATATTTTTAAATTCCTTCTTTTTTTTCCCTTTTATTTTATTCTCGACTCTTGCCAGGCATAAAGCTCTTGATCCTGGAGTCAGAGGGTCTTGGTTTCACATCTGGGGGTCGAGTGACCTTGGACAAGTTATATCTCCTCCTGCGAGCCTCAGTGTCCCCCCCCTTTTTTTTTTTTTGGAGGCTGACGCCACGGCACTCACTCTAGCCTGGACAACAAAGCGAGACTCTGTCTCAAAAAAACAAAAAAAACAAAAACAAAACAAAAAAAAACTTCGAAAACAAAATGATCCTTTCTAATTTAATGAAAATTTTGTGATTTTTTTTTATTGTTTCCTGTGCGTGCGTTATATACAACTCACGCGGGGCTGGCATCAATTTTGACACTGCGCGCCACTTGAGTTGTGTGTGTGGCTCACGACATACTTATTGCATTTGTTTAGAAGAATTGAGTCTT